GACTTGAAGGCACTTAACAACAACAACAACAACATATTAGCATTAAGTTCGTTAATGCGAATGTCTTAAAACAGATGTCATTTTGCTTCGAGTTGTTAACATAAAAGTCTGGAGGTTGGAATTCACCAAGCCACTCAATGGGAGAAAGATACAGTAGTCTGTTTCAGCAAAGATTTAGTCTTTGAAACTCTATGGGGCAGGTCTACTCGGTCTTCCTGGGTCGCTATGAGTTGGGATTGACTCGGTTGCGGTGGGTGTACACAGATGTTGACATGTTCCATTCCCCTTCAGTCAGTGACCGAAGTTGTATAGTTATACTATTGTTGTTTAGTGCATTGAGTTGGCACAGAGAACACAGCTGAGTGGCCCAAGGACTTCTTACCTTAAAAATTTGTGCAGGTATTGGCGGCTGCATGATGACCAGGAGAAGACTCCGTTTCGTCCGGCCAAGGTGGGCGACATGATGTTGCCCTCAGACTTCTTGCATACATTCCCTTCTCCATCATGGACCATGCCGAAGCTACAAGAGAGAGCAGAGTCTTTCAAATGACAGAATAGCTTCATGAGCTCATGTTCTCTAGCAAACTCATGTCACCATTGTGAAATCTCCCTGTCTGGATGAGAGGTGAGAAAACACTGCTACAAAGAATCTAATTCATACATGCATGGCTTTATTCCCAGCCAAACATGTGTCTGCAATCCAGGATGACTGCAGACAACGTGTCTCAGTAATACCCTTGTCTTACTCCCGATATGGCACTGTAAGATAAGCATTGGACTACAAGGTAGATTTGAATCTCAAGGTCGGTGATTCAAATCCACTTGTCACTCCTTGGAAATACTTTTTAGGGTCAGTAAAAATCAGAACCGACTCAATGGCACTAACAACAACAACAATTAGCCAACAAGTTGGCAGCTTGAACCACCCAGAGGTTCCTTGGAAGATAGGCTTGGAAACGTGCTTCGGAAAAGTCACAGATTCGAAAACACTATGTAACACGGCTCTAGTCTACACACATGGAGTTGCCAGGAGTCAAACTTGACACCGACTATCAGGAACACTACTATTGGGTGGTTTTGTGGATAAAGAGAGGAAGACCCCCAACGAGACAGATTGGCCAAGTGGCAGCATCGATGGACCCAAGCGTGGCAATAGTAGTGAGGTTGGCCCAGGATCAGGGATTGTTTTGTTCTGCTGTGCATAAGGTTGCTATGAGTCGGTACCAACTCAATTGCACTTAACAACAACAGCAGCAGATGGAAATTCATGGCCATGTTGCTATTCTGCCCCTCCACTAACGGGTCCTGCTCCCCCTCACTCTATGGCTGTGTTGCTGTAGACAGTGACCAATGGACAGTGTTTAACTCATTCTTCCCTTTGGAGGGAGCTGCTCCGTGGAATTCCGATGCATTCCTATGGTTGTGTTTATTTGTAAGCACGGTTTGAAGCTGCATCTGACGCTCATAAATGAAAACCACACTACTTTGGGGATCCAGCCCTGGTCAGCTATACTGGGACATTACAAGACCAGTGTCTATAGGAATTTGAAACCAACCCTATAACCCCAAACACACACACACACACACACACACACACACACACACACACACACACACACAAAACCAAAATCCGTACTAAAATCCAACTCCATTTCCAGAAGTCAAGTTCATTTCATAGCAAACCTGCAGGGCCGCGCAGAACAGCCTCATAGGGTCTCAAAGGTTGTGATCTTTATGGGAGCAAACTGCCACATCTTATCCCATGGAGTGACTGGTGGGTTCTGACCACTGACCTTCCAGTTCATAGCTCAGAGTTTTAACCACTGCATCACAAAAGGCCACCCCATCTGCAATGTCTATCAGCAGCCACTTGCTGTTGCTTTGGGAAATCAGTCGCCTTGCTTCTAGATTAATCTCACGAGTTGCTGCCTCCCCATTAACAAGACTTCTTCCTCCTCTTGACTTCCTAAAACTCTCTCTGATCATATTTATGGAAGCTTTTAATTGTCATCTTCAAGTTTTCCAGAAGAATAGGGAACACAGCACACTGCCAGGAGAGAAGAGCTCAGGGGACTTGGAAACTATACTTACTCAGTCCAGGAAAACCTCCTTAAAAAGCAGATGGGATATTTTTTGAGAGCTAGCCATAAAAAGAGCTCTGGTAGTGTAGTGGTTACGAATCAGGCTGCAAACCTTAAGGTCAGCAGTTCGAAACTACCAGCCGCTCTGCGG